ATCGCCTGCCGCAACGCCCAGAAGAGCGAAGCCACGCGAGACCTCATCCTGGCCACCCACCCCGCCGCTCAGGTCTCTACCGTGGAAGTGGACCTGGGTAACCTGGCTTCCGTCCTGCGTGTCGCCCGTGAGCTCCGCTGCAGGTATCGCACCTCCATCCTCCACCCCACCGGACCCCCCTGTCTGCCCTCCGCCCCTCACCCCTGTGCTCTTCCCCACGCAGGTTTCAGCGCCTGGACTTCGTCTACCTCAATGCTGGGATCATGCCCAACCCACACGTGAACTTCAAGGCACTCTGGCATGGTCTCCTCACCGGGTAGGAGATGTTGGGGGGGGTCTGGTCCCCAGCTTGAGGGCAGGGTGGGGTGCTGGCAGCACCATCGCGGCCAAGGCATGCCCTCGGGTCCAGGGCTGAAGACCCCATCTCCCTTGCCCAGCGTGGCACAGAGCACATCCCTGTGGGATGCATGGCCTTGCATGGGGTGGGCTTGGCAGCTGGGTGAAGTGCTGGGGTGCTCCAAGGCACCCAGTGCTGCTTCTGATCCCTGGCGTGAGGCCTGCTGCATGCAAGGGGAGGGCAAGAGTTCACCCAAAGCTTGCAGCTCCTGGCACTAGGTGTTGAGTGAAAAATGCTGGTGCGTTGCTGGGGAGGTGGAGTTTGCTCTTACTGGGTCTCCTACTGTTGTTCTGGTTCTGCTGTAGGTTTTTGTAGTTGTTCTCAGCTGTGGATCACGGTATTTTTGAAGCTAATAGTTGAAGCTAATAGTTGATGCTTGTTCTATAAGCACCATGGGGAAGCTGAGCTAGGGAGCAAAGTGACTTGCTTTAAGTCTAATACAGTTGTTGGGGTGTTGAACATAGATGCTAGACTGCTGTTCTTATCTGAATTAGGCATGGCCTTAGGTCTTAGTTCCATGCTGGAGCTTGATTTTTGTTATCTGAATGTGAAATGGAAAAGCAAGACTTTTTTTAATGGTACTGTACTGTGGTGAAGTGAAGGAAGGGACAAGTCTTCTCTGGTCTAGTCAGTATTGAGACACTTCCAAATAAAGGGGCTGGGATAGCCTGTAAACTTTTTCCAGGCATTTTTTCATGGATTAATAGAACCCTTGAAATTGTGTGGAGCCTGTGAGGTGGGGGATACTTCTGAAGGACTGAAGTGGGGGAGCAGTAGATGCCTCCTGGCAGTGTTCTTGTCTAACACCTGTCCTTGGCTTCCAGGAGGGTGCTTCACATGCTGACCACTGCGGAAGGAATAATGACCCAGACGGACAGGCTTAACGGAGATGGACTGCAGGAGGTGTTTGCTACCAACCTCTTCGGACACTTCATCCTGGTGAGGCTGTGTATGAAGATCAAGCCCTTGGTCTGGTGGTTGGTGTGGGTAGGGATGGGTACAGGCGGTACTTATGAGTCAGTTCTGTCTTACAGGTTCGGATGCTGATGCAGGCTGCAGCCTGACAGATAAGGAATGATAGGGCAAAGGTCTCGGGCTTTGTTAAAATAGCAATAAATGGTGATAGTCATTGTTGCAAGGGTTAATATAATCTCGAGGTTACTCTAGTTAGTCAGTGGATAGAGGTAAACCACACATAGTTCTCTCTGTCCAGGGTGAATACCAAGATTTGGCTATATGAATTCTGAGGTGCTCAACTGAGCTCTGTAAGAGAACGGTGGCTGCTTGTAAATGCTCCTGGTGGACCTTGGGCTGAAGTTATACCTGAGCAGCGGCTTCTGGCTTGTCTAGTGAAGATTGGCCAAGACTAGGAAAGCTGAGATAAGCTCGTGGCTTTTGAGAACTGCAAAGGTAACTGCAAGTCTTTAAAATTACTGTGTTAAATAAATTAACAACTGTTTTGCAGGTTCGTCAACTTCAGTCTCTACTCTGCGGTAATGAAAAGCCCTCGCGACTCATCTGGACCTCTTCCAGCAATGCCAGGGAGTCTGCCTTCAGCCTTTCTGACTATCAGCATGCCAAGGGGCAGGAATCATACAGTTCCTCCAAATATGCTACTGACCTGACAAGTGTGGTTCTGAACAGGAAATTTAATAAGCAGGTGATGATGGGGTTTGCATGTCTGAAGAAACCTAATGAGCTCCTACTATTTATAATTATCATTACGTTGTTGTTACCTAGTTACATTTGTTCATAGCAATCTGATATGTTCCTTATGCACATGTAAGAACTAAACGTAGCTGAGGTTGAACTGGTGGTGTGGGTGGTGGAGAATCTGCCAGAGAGATTGGTTCTGGGGTTCTTGTCAGAAAAACTTTTGAAAGCAGAAGATTTTAGGAGCGGTCCCTAACTTGCAAGCTCTAGCTGTCTCTTTAGACCAAAGAATCGGTCTTAAAGAACAAAGAGCTGCTGCTCTTTTCAGGCGTACCTGCCTATCAGAACAGGGCTGCTGTCTCTCCTGATGGCTCTATACTGCTATTCAAGTTTGTCACACTAAGATGTATGAGCAACCTGCCTTCCCTGTCATGGGGGATTGCCGGATTTTGTTGGCGAGCTGCAGTCCTAGTCCAGTGATAGTGATTGCACTCTTCTGAAATACTTCAGGAGAAAATGGTTTAATCCTAGAAGGCTGAACTCTTATCTCTTAAAGGTGAAGTAGCCTTTGATTTGAGCGGGCTGTAATTTGTGGGGTGACTGCTGTTGCTGCTGAGCTGCATGTAGACTGCAACGTGAGGTTGTGATGTGTTGCGAGGCTGCGCCTTCTGTCTCATGGGCTTGCAACGGGCACGGATTTAACATGAACATCTCCAATTTGGACCTCTCAGAAATCATTACATCTAATCACTCTCTGGCTCTGGTAACTTCAGAGAGGAGAGCATCTGCTATTAACTGGTCTCTATACTCACTGTCATTTTCTTGCTGAGAAGTACTGGGAAGGAAGGAGTATGATCCATTCTTAAACTAACTGTTGTGTATTTTCACACTGTCTTGGTTTCTTCTCTGCAGGGTCTGTATTCCAGTGTTGTTTGTCCTGGTCTCGTTATGTCTAACATGACCTACAGAATTTTACCAGTTTTTCTGTGGAAGCTGCTAATGCCCATCATGTGGTTGGTAAGTGGATCTTCTGGCTGGTTTTGGGTTGCAATATACTTCACTGCAAATGATGTGCAGCGTGCTTCTGGCTCCTTGCTACCCATGCTGCTATACAGCTCTTCCTTCTGTTCCACGGGGCAGGCTGGTCCCTCTGCAAACCTTCCCTTTGGCGTCTTGGGGCCCTGGTTTCCAAGCTGAGTTTGGAGGTTTGGTGCTGGACAGCACTGTACGTAGAGCCAGGGTTCAGCCCTTCAGCCATAGCAGCGTCTGTCAAGGCTCTCTTTGGAAGGTTTGCCAGCCTGTTGTGGGCTTGTGAAACCCTATCGTTTTGGTGGCAGCAGAGCTCAGGACAAAACTTGGCCCATGCTTTGAAATGCTGTTCGTTTCTATAACAGACTGTATTTTTCCGTGTTCTTCTTTCCATCCCTCTAGGAGGCAGTGTCTCCTGCTCTCTTCTTTCTATCCCTCTGGAAAGCAAAGTTTGCTGCTTTCTATTGCCTCTTCCCCTGCTTCCCCAAAACTTTCCTTGCCTTTCTTCCTCTGGGCTTCAGCTTTTCAGGTTCACTACAGTTCTGTCCCTGCATGCAGGCTGCTTGCTCTGGGCCTTGATGCTCTTGCTGCAAGATTGCCCTTTCTGCTTAAGCGGCCCCAGCTGGCAGCAGCTGATCCTAACGGATCACATTTTTCCTGGCAGTGGAGAGGCAATGCCTTCTCACTTGTCCTCAACACTGGCAGTATTGCAGATCCTCTCTGCCTCCTGCCTGATGTGCTCTTGAGACCATTCAAGAAGAGGTGCCCGCAAGGCATGTGTGGCCCGTTGCCTCTTGCTTTGGGGGTGAGCTCTGTGTGGGGGCACGGAGCCAGGCTTGCTGATCTGGTGGGTGGCTCCAGAGACCAGAGTTTGTGTGATAAAGAGATGCTTTAATCATAAGTGTGCAGTGTTACCTGTAGTTAACTTTGAGAAACATTTTTACCTCTGGTAGATGATCTGGTGTGGCTGGGCTGCGGAGGGCTTGCCAAAGAAACCCTGGGCCAAAATACAGATTCTGTCATGTACTTCTTTTCCCCCTCAGATCCGCTTTTTTGCCAAAACTTACACTCTGACACCATATAACGGAGCAGAAGCTCATGTGAGTAGTTCACAACTTGATTTTAATATTCCTCCCTTCTGTGTAGCTCTTCCAGCGTCTGCTGGCTTGAACAAAGAGGCTGTCTGCCAGGCTGGTGGGTGGGTGCTGTATTTCCCCCCTGCACAGCTTACAGCAGTGAGTGCCGGGGGACCAGCGGTGACCAGGGCTGATCCAACAGGTGATGCTTTTTGCCCTTTATCAGGTGCCCATAAAATAAATGATTTTGGAAAAACACTATTCCTTCCCTCTTGGTCAGGGAGAATGCCGCTCTCCCCGTTGGCGGTCAAGCAGCCATAGACATGCGGGCAGAGGGGAGGGAGGTGGGTCATGCAGGGCACAGTGCGCACCAAGAACAGTAGTGAGCAAGTTCAGCCATGTGAACTGCTTTAGTGGTTTAGCACTGGGACACTGGTTTACTGTTGGCTCAGGTGGGTCACAGCTGAGGGGAGCCAGCTCAGAACTTCTCTAGATACCAAGTCTTCCCTGGCTTGGTAAAAGCCCCTGTGGTGTGTTCTCCTGTGGCATTGGCAGTCAGGTCCTTGACTGCAGGCTTGGTCGGGACAGTGTGTGCTAGACTTGGTACACGTTTGTGCTCTTCTTCCTAGGTGTGGCTGTTCAAACAGAAGCCAGAGTACCTGGATGCGCTTGTCAAATACCACAGCTGTACTTCTGGACTGGGGAAGAGCTATGTGGAGCCCAGAAAGGTAAACGGAATGACAGCCTTGTGCTGCCAGGGACTTGGCTATGGGTTTGCCATCTGCCTTGCGTGAAAGGGTTGGTGCCAAGGGTTGGTGCCAAGTCCTGTGGCTGGAGTGGAAACAAGATGCATGTTGAATGCTGACGTGGGGTTATCTGTGAGGTTTCCTAGAGTAACTCCTGGCTCAGGCTGGAGTGGAAGCAATGGTTGGAACAGGATGAGTGTGTAATGATGCTTCCCCAAAATATGTTCTGGCTTGTGCCCTGGTGATGGATGCCTTTAGTTGCCTCTCTGTGAATGTAGAAGCTCTGGAGATGCACCCTGCTATCCCCAGAGCTGCCCTCAAGCATCTGTGCTGGCTGCCACCGAGGTGGTGGTCTCACAGTTTTCTTATTGTCTTCCAGATTGATGTGGATGAAGAAACTGCTGAGAAATTTTACCAAAAGCTGTTGGAGCTGGAGAAGCAGACTCTAGAGAGATACAGTGATCTCCTAGATTAAGTAAAGCCAGTCCCAGGGGGATAACAGGCTCGTATCGGTAGATGGGCTTTCTTCATTCTGGTGCTGCTTGTGTTGCCTGCTGTTCTGCAGGCACATGGCTTCAGACCCCATCTTCCTTCTCGACAGAAGTGAACAGTTCCTGAAAATGGAAATGCGAAAACTGAAGAGAAATACTTAGTCTTTCTGGTATGGGATTTTTTTTCTGGCATAAAACTGGAGACCTAGAGTAGGTGGAGACTGTCTTAACATAGTTGCAAAGCAGTGTCTGGCAAAAGCAGGACTGAACTGTGCACAGTTTGGGAACAGCCTCAAAACACGTGGTTTAAATCTGGCTTAGGGCAGGAAAGGCAACAGTCTGGGACGCTGCCCTGCATCTTGGCTCTACCAGTCTTTCTAGACGGCTCAAACACATACCTGTGGCTGATCCTGAAGTACTTGAAGGCCCATCTTCAGTAGAGCTGTTCTTCATTTGTACACCAAAGCTGGGGCCGGTTCTCCAGATGTGCTCAATAAGATTGAACCTTACTGGAAGTCAGGCTCTGCACAGCATCTGAAGCCAAGCTTCTGAAGAGCTGGCCTGAGAAGCACACCCCTTGCCTCAACTGTGAGGACAGATGCCTTGCTGTCCCCTGGGTATGGGGCCATATATGTTGTAACCACAACTGTCTGGAAAGACTGAAGCTGTTGATGTTACCCTGGGCTCAGGGCTAGTCTGCTCCATTTGTAGCAAGAGTGAGAGGTTACCATGTTATTTTATCTATTTAACTGTCTTTTTATATACATTTACTGTACCAAACGTTCTTCCTGTTGTCTGTCTGGGGATCTTCACCAAGTACCTGGTGTACTTCAAGTGCTGCAATGAATAAATGACTGGAACTGACTTGTCCTTGCTGTAGTGGTGTCTTTACTCCAATAGCTGGCTGCTTTTGACTCGGAGGGCTGGAAGGGAGGTTGGTTTGTTGCCTTGCACAATAAGCCCGTGCATACCTGGGAACCGTGGTGTCTGTTCTCTCCTGCCGTAGGAGAGTTGTTAACCACCTCTTTGGGCTTACTTCTCGTGTTCCTCCTAGTTAATGAAAGACATGAGTGTCTTCTGAAGGCTTCTGTGTGGTTTTGTGTGTTGGGCGCCTGTGGGGTGTCTGGGAGTCTTTCCCAGCCTTAGGCATTTGGGAGATGTAGATGCCTGGTGCTTGCTCACCCTGATGCATCACAGAATTACTGATTTAATGCTCCCTAGTAAGGGAGTGTTACAGTGTGCCCAGGGGTTGGCTCAGGGGTCTGTGCAGAAGCACAGAGCTGGCATCTGGGAGAATCCAGGCTCTGCAGAGGCTCTTCATTGAGTCGGCTTGTAGGGATACAGATTTAAAGAATCTTGCTTCTATTTTTTTTTTTTCCTTCTTCCCACCCTCCATTGTTTTCGAGCATCTCTACAAAGAGGAGGGATACTGCTAGCAGTAGAAATAGCTCAGTCTTGAGTTGGGGCTGAGCAACACCTCTCAGCTCAGCCCTCGTGTGAATACCTGAGCTACCAGCGCTGGTGTGGGTGGGAACGCGCTCTGTTTTGGCCTGACGCTGGAACAGAACGAGAAGCTGGCCACTGTGGAGTGGTGCTTCCCTTGGCTATGGCTGTAGCTGTTGAGAGTTGTGAAGCAGGTTGGGGTGTACTTATGTGGACCTTTATTTAAATGCAATAAAATCTGTCCCAGCACTGGATCTGGGTGCTGCGTTCTGGAACCCGCTGGGGCCAGAGCCCCCCCCTTCTGGTGCTGTTTCTTCTCCACAGGGGCAGAGTCAGTGGCTGGCTGTCTCTTCAACTTGGTGTACTTGATTCCCCACAGCATCCTACAGCAGTATTTAGCTCCTTGGTCTGGAGGGTAATTAAGCATGTCTTTTTGATTCGTTTTCGATGAGCATCTTGAGCTTTGCTGGGCTTCTGCCCTGGGCTGTAGTAGGGATCATTCACCCCCTCCATCTTGAGGATTCCCCACCTACCCCAAAGCCAGAGGCACTCAGTCATTCCTTACCCTTGCTCTGACTCCTCTCTGATACTACCCCTGCCTCATTTTCTCTCTGGGTGAGATAAACAAAATAGCAAATGTTACTCAAAACAGTCTCTGCCACAACGCTTCGTGAAATGAGTGCGACTTACTGGGCGAAGGGAAGGACAGGGCTCTTACGCCGAGCTGATCACCTGTATTGTCCTGCACGGGCTGCATGCTGGCACTGTAGCTATGACAGTCCAAGGATTTGAATGCAGTAAGGTCTGGAGGTGCTAGAAGGGGTAGCTTTGAATAAGCTAGTATAGTTAGGAAAAATAAATGCTTTCTGGTACATGAGGTTTGTTTTTTTTCTAAAGCCTGGAATAAAGTGGCAAATTTCTAGGGTGGGCAGAGGTTGAAGACCACAGGTAAGACCTCTGAGGTTTTTTCTCGAGTGTGTGCCTGTGGGCTGAAGTTGGGTGTTTATCAGGGGAAGTTGTGCCTGATGGGATGGAGCGAGTGCTTTTTGCCTATGGAGCATGTAAAGACTGGTGAGGGGAGAGAACGTGTGATATACCACCACCAGTCCTTGAGTTATCCATGACGTTGGTGTCAAGTAGAGCTATGAACGGGTTTCTGGGCTCATCTTAAAGGTGCTCTGTAGCTCTCCTTTGAGGATTTGGGGCTCAGGGTTAAAGAAAATGTGTGTTTCTCTCCTGTTGCGTCTGAGCTCAGCCTGCTGCACGGTTTAGTTTCACCTTAGTTGCTATGAAGGCACCTCGTGCACTGTGATGCATGTTAGATCCTGGGAGATGCAAGTGTGAAATTCAGGACTTTTGGGGGATCTGCTGCGGCGTGTGGTTGTGGTTGGTGTGGATGCAAAGTGGCCTCTGGAGATCTCTAGCTCAGCTTCCTGCTTGAACTGTTACATGAAGAAGGAGCAAAAGGTGCTAAAGCACAAGCTGAGCCCTGGAGAGATGGGAGAACCTGGAAAGATGGGATAAAGCTTGTGGTTTCCCATGAGTTTGGTGCTGCATGGAGCTGGAGATGCACGGTCAGCCCAGGTGTCTCCAGAAGACTGCTCTTCAGTTGGAGGAGGTGTTCTAGTGTCCTACAGCACTTGTCACAGGATCCCACTGCTCTACAGGGGTTTCTGCCTGCTTTTGTGACCCCAGGTGTCATTGTCCATGTCCTTCTGTAGAAGAAAACTTCACTGTGCTCAATGTCACCTTCTGCTCCTCTCCATGTTGTGAGAAGCTGGATGTCTTTGCATCCAAAGGATGGGACTGTTCTGTGGGATGGGAACCGTAACCACCTCTCAAGTTTCATCTTTTGTCTTGAAAGCACAGGTAGGGCCTGGTGCCTTGAAATGGAGACTGCCCAAAGGGCAGGGGGTGGCTCAGTTGTTTGTTGCCCTCTGTGAACTTTGCCTGGTGAATCCGGCCCAAGGGGTGCTGTGCCACCTGGTTTGGCTGCCCACCACCCAGGTGACTGCAAGCAGAGCTGGCTGACACTCTGGAGCTGCCTGTCTGCGGGGAGGGATGGCTCCTCATGCCCTGCTCTTGGCTAACAGACACCAATGCATGGAGCTTAATCCCCCAGCTAATCCCTTTCGTCCGGCAGGCACATCCAGGCATGAAAGCAGTAACGGAGAAACAGCAACTGGGTCAAGCAGAGCAGGCAGGTACGTACATCTGTCAACCTCTTCCCAATGCGCTCCCGTCCCCTCGTCTTCGCTTGCTAAGGTAGTGGAGACACCGCTGATGCCACCGCACAAGTCGGGTGCCTCTGTTGAGGTCATGCACGTGGAGCTGTCAAGCCCTTTGTGCAATGAAAACAGGTCCTGTCCGGAGCACGGGGCCCCGTGGCGGAGCCCGGAGTGACGCAGGGCGGTGAGAAATGCCAGGCGTGGGATGGGGGAAGAGCCGGCAGCGGCAGCTGTGAGTCAGTGCCAAGACAGGAACTTTCTGTTTGCCATCTTCGGACATGGAGCTTTCCAGAGATGCTCTGGGGCACGTCTTGAGCGTGAAAACTTGTTGCGGTTGCTCTATGATGTCCTGCACAATCGGGCTGTGCAATCTAAAATCTAATCATCACGCCGAGTCACCGGTTTCTTATTTTCATGGGCAAACGTGTTGCCTTGCTCCAAACACAGTCTGAGTCCTCCATTGCTTTACAGCTCAGCTGGCTTTCAGCTATGTAAGGCACCGATAGTAGGAGCGTGGGTGGGAACTGCAGCCCAAGCCACAGCCAAGGGAGGAGAAAGCTTGAGAGGCAGGGAAGAGCCAAGGGGGATGTGGATCTGGGTGGGTTTTGCTGAGAATGGGCAAATTGTAAAGCCCCAGGAAGTTTTTTGCTGGGAGGGAGCTCTCGCACCTCCAGCCAGCCCTGCTCTGCGCAGGAACGGCCTCACGGCTGGACCAGGCAGCTCAGGGATGTGTCCAGGTGAGTTCTGAAGTCTCCAGGGATGAAGACCCCACAGACCCTCTGGGCCCTGTCCCGGGGCTGCTCCCACACACCAGCCCGCTTTGCAGCTTCCCAGGGGAGAGTAAGGCTGAATTACTTGAAGGGTGAGATGCAGGAGGCTCGGGGCACTCGTGTGCCACATGGCCAAGGAAATGGGAAAGCCCAAAGAGAGCCAAGACTGCCTGCAGGGTCAGGGAGGCTTTGCAGTGTTGCTTTGCAAAACAAGGAGCTGTGCCCAAAGGAGAAACCTCAAAGGGGAACCGGTGGATGAGTTCAGGAACAGCTTGTGAGAAGAATCAGAATGAGTAGTAAAGCCTTTATCTAGCTCATCAATAGATGCTCCTGTGTAAGAGCAGAGCTTGGAGAGGCTGTGGTGCTGTAATTAACATTTTTGGCATCAGTGCTCACTGAGAGGAGCCTGGGAAGGCTGCCCTGCCAGAAACCCTCTTGCAGATGCAAGGATTTGTATCAAACCAAAGTGCTTGCAGGGGAGACTACAGGGCAGGCGGATGAACGACCAGGGCTGGATGACATTTGTCTTGAGGCAAAGTAGCTGAACTGAACGCTCTGCATTCATTTCTCCCTTAAAACTGCCTCAAGCAAAGCAAACAGGAGGAGGTGGCTGGATACCCAGCCTGGGGTCAGGCT